TCCCACTAAAAATCTCCGGTTTCAATAGACGGATGATAGCAGCGATCTGAATGGGCTAGAAACCCTAAACGGAAGGAAGAAGAGAAGATGTAGGTAGAGGAAAGGTCGGAGGATTTTTCTTCAAAAATGTTTCAGCGTCTTTTGTTTTAAAACGACTCATAGACATAACTTCAAAACCAATTGGGGAAATCTATTGGGAAAAACCAAGAAGAAAAAGGAAATGTCATAAATTGCAATAAAGGTCTGTAACGTCGAGGAACTGAAGCAGACGATAAGTTTTTTTTTTGTTTTTAACATTTTTGAGTTCCACGTGTCAAGCAATTACGAAGTCACATGTTGAGAATCTTGTCCTCTCTTTTTTTTTTTGGTAGAAAGAATATTGGCCTCTTTTGATCCATAATATTTAAATATATTTTCTAATCGATTTTTAATATTTAGACGTATATTCTAATATTTCTAAACCTACAAAATTATATGTATTATGTATAAATATAATAAAACTAAATTTGTACTAAACATATTTCAATGTCATATATTTTGATCAATTTTGTATAAAAATATTAAAACTAATGAAAATGTTATTTATTTCAATTTATTTGAAGTATCAAATTGAGTTTTATTATTTGTGTAAAATTGTAGAGTATGCGAAATCAAATAAATTTTAGATTTATATAAATTTGTCGGACGTAACAAACAAAAAATATATGTTTTCTAATAATAAAATATAAAAATATTTGTAAGTGTAGTTATCATCTACAAATAAATAATATTGCTAGAATGTAATAATAAAAAGCTTTTAATATATCAAAAATTTTATTAAAAAATAGATGATATAGTAAGTCTAAATATTACATTTAGTTAAACTTAATTCTGTAAAATATATATTAATGAGTTTATGTTATAAAATTAATAAAAACATATAGAGATTTCCACCATGACATATAAAGTTTAATTAAAATTTTTTCATTAGTTAATTTAAATGACATATTATTTAAAACCCTCATTGAATAATACATATTATATTTTCACCAATTGTCTATTCAATTAATATATAGAGGATTAGTGGCATTTTAAAGAAAATTTCAAAATGATGACATTTTTGAAAAGTGACATTTATAAAAAATTCTCTACATTTTATCTAAGTATCATCCAAATTAAATTTTGTAAGATAAAATATATTTATCTATACTGGAGATATATCTTTGTTATTTTTAATTTCTCCCGTATATTAAAAAAATCATAAATTTTTTTTTGAATATTCTAACGCATGTCAAAAAAATCTAATAGTCATTGAAAAAAAAAGCTATTCTCACATATACTTTATATTCTTTAAATAAAATCTTCCATATTAATTATCACATATTCCTTGTTTCCATATTTGTTTAATAGTTATATATTGTATATATGATATAAATTTAGTCTAATTATTTATACAATAATGTCATTAAAAAGTTTTAATAGCTTTCATTAAAAGTTCTTTAAAATCCTCTTTGGATGACGCCTAGGATTTTCACCTAGTGTCTCCTCTATTAATATATAGAGGATTAGATTTTTTAGCTTCTAAGACTATATTGTTTAAAACGACATATATATATATTTTTTTTATTAATTAAAAGGTATTTATTGAACAAAGGCGTCTCTCTAAAAAGGTAGAAGCTTGTAGAAACTGATTGGAGATTCGTTTGCCAGCGTCCAGCGTTAGCCAGCATCGTGTTTTCTTTGTAAATAGTTTTGTTTTCTTGTTTTGTTGTTGGTTGTAATATATGTAGGTGTTTCCGATCTCAATCGGGTTGGGTTGTCCGGCTAGATCCGGATATATCTCCGACTTTGTTCGAATGCGGTTCTCCGGCTTGACCGAAATGTTTTCTCTTTCGTTCGTCGGGTTTCGATCTCGTTCTGATCTCGCCTGTCTATTTATCCGCTGTCCCCTTCATTTCTATCTGAATTCTCCTTTCGTTCGAGGAGTAATATCTTCATCGCTTTCTCCGTTTGCTCAAGACGCAGGAGCAAAGATGGATCTAAGACTACATCAATTTTCTGGGTGTGGTCGGTGATGAAATTTTCCCGGAGTTGGTGTTTCTCGGAGAGATTCTGGAGTGATTTTAATGTTAGATCCTGTTGATTTCGGCTATCTTGGAAATTGGGCTTGAGATCGGCTGAAGGGTAGAGGATTTTCTTCGCCTCTTGGCTGATTAGCGGCGGCTAATCGAAGATTGGTGGTGATGATGACCGGTGGAGGCGTAGCTTCGAGAAGAATGTGTTTCTTCTTCATGTGTCTTCATTTTAGGTTTGAGCTTTGTATGTAATCCTCTTGAGCTTGTATCTTGGGCTCCCTCCTGGATTAGCCTTTGGCCTTTTAATAAAATTATGTGGTCGACCAAAAAATAAATAAAATTAAAAGGTATTTATTGAATTATTTTTTTTACAGTATATATAAACAGCGTAGAACTAAAAATGGTAAAATCATACTGTAGATATTTGAATCGATTGATTTCAATACATTTGCATAGAATTCTGTTTTTATGCCTATTTGCTATTGCATGTAGCACTAAATTAGTATTGAAAATATATACTTAAGCGTGTATATTTTTTGCTAATAATTTTAAATTGATCTTATGAGATATTGAAATATAGGTAAAATAAGATTTTTGTTAGTAAGATTTTTGATCTAATGAGGTTTTATCACCAATTTGATCCATGAATTCGTCTTATTACCGAGGTTTGCAAGATGAAAACTAAAATTACATTTATTTTTTAATGGTTTAGTTTCCTTTAATTCTAGAGAGAATTGTTTTGAATAGTCGGAGTAAGACTAAAACCTCAAGGAAATAGATATCTAACTGTTGGTTTTTGTGGTTTTTAATTTTCACTAGAGTTGGAGACTAATTTATAAACACATGAAAATTATTTTATTGGCATGCTGAACGGTCCTTTTTTATTAGATAAAATGCCAGTGAACAACCTGCAACTTACTTTCGTTCCCCGGCAGCGGCGCCAAAATTTGATATTC